TTCTTATCTTCGTTTACATTGAGAATTTAAAAAAAAAAAAAAAAAAAAAAAAAAAAAAACGTGCACCATTCCTTCTTGCCCAACTTCATTCAAAAGAATCTGAGGTTTGCTGGTTTGTATATTTTAAGTTGCTTAATTCATTTCTAAACCGTGAAAAAATGCAACAATTATTGTCTATATGTTCTCTAATCTTTCCAATGTTGACATCAGTTCCTGGAGTTTTGTCTATGCATATGCTAAAATTTCTACTTTCTGCATGCTGTTAAGTTTTCTGTCTTTATTGCTATGGGAGTAGATGTATAGTAAATAATTCTTCCTGGTGTATTTTCCTCACTTCTCCTATACGAGATTCAAAGTTCTTAATAGAATCAAAGAGATGTCTAGCACTTTGTTCTGATTGTACATTAGACAATCCTGTCCAAAAGGCGCTTCCATTCATTGCATCTTTTTCAAGAACACATATGGCCAAAATTGCATGTATATTGTTTTGATGAAGGATCTCTTAGAAGCATATACTACTTGTGATTCTCCATCTTTTTACATGTCAGTAAAAACGATTTCGTCAAAGTTCCAGATGAAGGTACATTTTAAAATAAATTGTTTTACTAGTATTCGTAAGTCACCGTGGCGTTGTGAATGAGGTTAGGGACTATCAAGCGGGAAGAATCCAGTTTCAGATTGTTTGACTCATTTTGTTTTGTTTGTAAATAGATAAATTTAATACCACCGTAAGAGAAAAAGTGAAATAAGCCTGCTAATTTAAAAAAGCAGATTCCTTTTCAAGTGTTTACTTCATTTCTAAGTGGTGATGAACTGAAGAAAAATGTTTAACATCTGAATCATATCTGCGATTCTTGGTAATGTAAGTTGTTAAAATGTGTAAAAAAAAATTCCTTAACATGTCACTTGAAACCTTTACTAAATATTTTTAACATATGATAACCTTCGAAAAATTCCAGGAGTACAAATATTGCGGGGTCAAAGTTATATATATATATATATATATATATATATATATATATATATATATATATATATATATATATATATATATATATATATATATATATATATATATATATATATATATATATATATATATATATAGTATTTCAAAATAGTAGATAAAATAAACATGATAAATGCAGATTTTGAGAATTTTTTTCTAAATATCCTTCCACCACAAGAAAGAGTTTTTCATAAATCTTGTTTCTGATCACTTTTGTGAACTGTTTTAATTGAATGTCGTACAATTTGAGTTGTGTAATTCAAATGTGTTTAATTTAAGGACAGATGATACCAACAAAAAATGTATCCCTGGATTGGTATATATTTCTTGATCTATTTTCGTTGTAAGTGATGCGAATACTAAACATCTAAATTATTAAGAAATTGTAAACTTTCTATGGTGCTCAAAATTCTACTTTTCTGAAACCATCCTTATTACTCTATGCAAATTTTTGTTATGTTATATCCCATTTTTGTTAAATTTTGAATAACAAATAAAATCTATTCGATCAACTTATTCATTTTACTTGTTTAAACATTACTCAAAATTTTTGATAAAAGTTTGTTTGTATCATGTGTCCTTAAATATTTAATTGAAATATGATTTACAAATTACGATATTGAAGATATTGCCCAAACTTTTCTGTAAGGCTATCTTAAATTCATACACATCTATGAAAAAAATATTTTTATGCAAATTTTAGATAAATTTTCAAATAACAGAAATACCTTTTTTATCCCTTAGAGTCAATTCAATGTATTTCGTACAAAATACTCATTGTTGTATAATATAAAGAAAAGCTGAAGAGTATATTTTTGAAAATGAAATTCGGTCATTTTGTGCATATAAGTAAAACTTTCTTCGGAAAATAAAACCTTTTCGTCAAGAACATATATGTATTTTTGATACGAGTAACCGGTTAATCGGGCAGACCATGTTTTAGATCACCGAAAAAAGAGTTTTAATTAGATCTTTACCTGAAATCAGAGTTCTTCTTAATCGTTGATTTTTTTCCCTCAAAAACAGACCGACACCAACAGTAAAATGTGAGTCATAGAACAATTCTTGATATCGTATTGTCTAAAAAGTTTTGAAATTCTGTGCAATGAAATATGGAGAAAACTAATACGAACAGTAATCAAGCTCTCTCTCTCTCTCAAAAAAAAAAAAAACCTCATCACTACCCTACTTCCCTTAAACTCGGGAAAATCTGCGCTGTTTGTAAACAAATGCGATTATGACGTCATTTTTTGCATGCTGAAAATCTAGAATCAAATGCAGAGATATTATAGCAGTGAATTCAAGAATGCGTCAAAAACAAATTACAATTACATTTAATATATTGCATCAATCATATCTTATGTGAAATCAGTAAACACCTTTTCCTTCATGCGCTATTCCATCGATATCGCCATGTGCGTTAAGATGATCATTTTCACATGGCAGCCATTTTTATGAAGGTCTAGGTCAAAGGTTTAACATGACATACCATGTTGAATACGGCTAAAAATATTTAATTTTTTGTCTACATTTGCCCTAATGCACTACATGTTGGAGATAGCGTTAGCGTTACATTATTACATATAAAAGACGTTATACTAACGTTATTTTTTCTATTGTTGACAGTTTTCTTAAAGCGCAATTCAATACTATTTTAAATATTAAATTCTAGTTTTACAAGAAATCAAACAAATAATTCGGAGAGTAACGCGGGGTGTTTTCCGCTTATGGTGACAGAGTTTGGGTACTCGAGGATTTTAGTAAATAAACTAAAAAAAAAAATCAAATTTGGAAGACATGCTGCAAAAAACATAGTGAATGAATGATACATTGGTATGTGATATATGAATCATATCTACTGGTACATTCACAATCAGAAACAATTAATATCTGTAGTGTTCATATGCAATAAATTTTATATTCTAAGTAAGGAATTATTTGCAAATAAAATAACGCGGATATGTTTTCTACGAAGAAGTAGAAATACGAGAGTTGTCCAAGAAAAACTTTTTTGATATCAGAAATATTTAACCAATGTTAATTTTTTTTCCTCTATTGAAAAACGATAATCTTGTTATTTTGACAAAATATTATAAGGTTGTAATGTCATATGCATGTAAAGCAGAATTTTTAAAGAGGTTCGCTCATCAGGTTTTGAGCAGATTTTCGTCTTGACCTCTATTTAAAAAATTCTACATAATGTTTAAGTTATTACAATACATTTGGATTCTACAATGCTAATTAAACTATATTAAATCAAAACCCCATGATTAAATTCCACACCGAAAACATTAAGTGAGGAACTATATTTTGTGGCTGAAGGATTTTTTTAGAAGAAAATTATCACTTTTTCTCTTTCGAAGTAATTGCAGTATTGGTAAGTTTGGATTTCTATTTATAAATGCAGCCTGTTCACAGAGTTATTTTGTGCAGTGAAATGTTTTATGCTGGTCCTAAATTATGTATTAAATTAACTCTCATGAATTCTATCATCATATTTGAGAAATATAGCAAATATATTGTGAAAGTCCTGTGAAAAATATAGCCCAATTAAAGCTTGAAATTAACACTATTTTGGTAATATCTAAAAATTAACATCACAAACCACCACTTTTTATTGTCTTTACTGAATATATAAGACAATTTTAACCATTCTGCTTAAATTCAGAAAAATGTCATTACTTTCAAATTATTTTATTGCTTGTGTACGCGTGTTCCAATAAAATGAATTCAACCCTTATATTTTGATTGATGCAATGATTACGAAGATAGGTGGTTACTCGTAATGAATATTAAGATCGTAAAATACCAACATCCTGGATTTTAGTATCAATAAACTGTGAAGCTGTCTATATAATTACAAAAGGGTATTCAAAGTCGAATATATACTATTCTCAATCGCAAATCAACAGAAAACTTTCAATCGAAACCTTTTTAAATAAATTTCTCTCTAATTCCTTTTTATTGAATGCTGGTATGTAGAAAAAAAATTGGGCCAATAGTGAATCTTTAATTATTTTCTTAAATAACACGAATCGGTCTCCACTATCTTAACCCATATATTTTTAATGTTTTTTTTTTAAAAAGGCTTTTAAATGGCTTTTCTGAAAAAAAAAGATTGCATCGTTATCGATAAATAGAGCTTAATTCATAGAAAGGAGTATCCTGTTCGCTTTAAACTTCTCTAGTCTTTTAGACACTTTTCAACATTTTCAAAAACACCGTGAAACCAGTCATGTAGTATATTTATTTCATACTTTAGATGTGCGTAACTATCAGCGACATAACTAAAAAGAAAAATAATAGAGAAGAATTGGTTTTTATTAAATTAATATAATCCGTATTTCTTCCTTACTTCAATTTACTAATTCTTGTGGATTTCTCAATAGTTCTGTTGATAACATCGATCCACTTCAAAACCTTGTATGCACTTGATCAGATAAACATGGGGGAAAAAAATCTTTTCCTTGTGCAACATTGAGATTTCATATACTCTGTATATTTTTCTCAAAGTTAATTCACGGACTTGATTTTTTTTCCCGGCTTGGCGAGGGCGTAGCATTATACAGATTTGATGCACGTAATTTTGCTAAATGTTTAAAATGTACGTATGGTTTCGTAGTCATATTGTGTAATGATTAGTTCACCAAGAGAAATCTTTTCTTTATTTTATTAATGTTAAAAGTCTATAAGTGAAATTTAAAATCAATTCATTTTTTTAATATAAAACTTGAAAAGCTTTACAGTTTTTTTGTAAATTGTGTAAATTGATCAGAACGTTTGATTTTTGTCTGTTTCCATTCCGAATACAAGCTGTTTAATCTATCCATGGGGATATTTTCCAGCATGTAAGACATTTTACAACATAACTCATTTGGTAACAAAGATTTACTGAATTTATTTTTCTTAATCATTTCTACAACGCTAAAATATTCATATGTAAAAAAGAAATGGAAGTAACACAAGCTCTGAGAAAATGCTGCTGAGACAAATGTAATTAACCCCCCCCCCCCCCAGAAAATGGTTTTAGGCTAGGTATCAGTGTTTCACTGACAATGAGTAATAAAACACTTAAGGGGTAGGTCTAATATGATGATAGTGCGACCATTGGGGCGAGCGCAGTTGTGTATAATTTATTACTGGATATCCACTCCCTTTTAACGTTGATAAGTCTCTCCAATCGCACGAGACATGGAAGGCATTTCTAAATGCAAAATTTATTAAACTTTTTTTTAATTACATATTCTTTTCGTTTGCCAGGAATTGGAAAACACACAATGAGCTCTATAAATTCCAATGATATATCGGACCTAAAAGATTCGTTAGACACATAGTTTAATATCAAGTATGAATGTTTTCTCCCCCTTTCCAAATTATATTACAAAGTTGCGTGAGAGTATAAGATACCATAAACATAAAACTTTGCTAAAATTGTTTATGATGACATAAACCACTTGTAGCTGATTTAAAATAAGGCAGAACCATAACTATAATATATTAGCTAGAAACTATACTGGGCTTGCAATTGCTAGCTAACAATCAACGCAAAGGGTAATTAGATATACAAAATAATGTAATAATGGTGTTAGCGTTTCATCACAAATATTCGTACCAAAGATTATGTAATTTTAGAATGAATTATTTTATTCTAGATATTAATATCAAAACTATGATATTCATAAACCATTAACGTGGTTTGCTTGATTTTTTTTTTCAAATTGTGACCATTTCTAGATTCACAATGCTCAATTTTTTAGCTCGAAATTTATTTGGAATCAATATATCAATCGTCTTTCACAAAGAGTGTAATGGAATTTGAAAAAAAATACATGTAGAAGACCTCTTTGAAGAAACATTTTGTTTATCTCAAATAATTCCAAGTCTCATATTTAAAATAATTAAGTCTCACGTTAGCACATTAATATGCTTTTCATGAGCTTTATACCCGGACTACATCTAAACAATGATCATCAAAAAATCATGAAATAAGCAATTTCTTCCATATCATAAATACAATTTAGTTCATTAACTCAGCTGATTAATATGAATCAAGTAGGTTTCCTTGTAGAGAGTCATATTGTGGCATTTTGCCAAACTCAAACTGGTATAAGGATTTATATGATAGCAAGTTCAAATGATTCATCAAGTGAAACCAATCATCTTAGTTTCAAGGTTTAATATCAGATATATTTTGAGTGAAAAATTTCAGCTTCATTTTTTTCATAATCTTCTCTGGTGATCCAGTTGTCAGGGAATAGGTTCTTAATGGCAACGTTCAACCCACCCTTCCAGGCAAAATGCATTCTATCAGACTGAGCAATGATATTTATCTCTGTGTCGTCCGCAACTAGTGATTTAATTTCTTTTTCCAATCGTTCAGGAAATCCCTTAAGCATTGTCGACCCCCCAGCAAGGACTATCTTCTTATATAATTCTTTTTGCTTGTCCTCCTCGCAATTTTTTATGGCTTTGACGATAACTTCATGAATACGGAACTCTTCAAAAAGTACCTCTGGGCACTGAAATTTCTCGGATTTTATTTTTATTTCTCGACCATCCGATAGTTCTACTTGGTCAGACAGAACATTCTCAATCTCTGCTTTAGGGTCAATTGCGACAAAGCAATATTTTTCTTTGACCTCCCTTGCACATTTGTGTCCTGACGGTGTGTCATCGATCTCTAGCATGGTCAATAGTTTTTCTGTCAGGCTTTGACCATTAAATCCTAAGTTTTCGACGACAGCATTTTGCATTATGCGGTTCTCAATTATCGGAACAACTTGTGAAGTGCCCTCTCCGATATTGACAACTAATCCTGTTGAACATCCAACAGCAAACAAAGAAAGGGAAGCTTGATTTGCTAGTAAAATTGCTTGTGGATTGTATGTCTTAAAAAGTAAATGCAGCAGTTCATCTCTGTCTTCTTTTTCTGCCTTCATGACGATTTTATACTCTGACACATTTGTTTCTAAATTTCTTTGAAATGTGTAAGTCAAGACTTTTTCTAAAGCATCAAATATTGTGATTCGGCCATTTTTGACAGGGTAACATATATCGCACATTTTCATTTTTTCTTCAGCTTCCTCTCCAAAAAATATATTTTTAAGGTTCATTCCTGTTCTTGCAAACATCTGAAAAATACCAAAATTAAGGCTGTATTTAGCATACTACTTAAAAGTATAGACAGCCTCCACAAAGAGCAAAAAAAAAAAACCCATTTTTTTTTTTTAAAAATCAAGTTATATAATGTGTTTTCAAGGGAAAAAAGTAAGAGACGTATTATTTTAACAAAAATACATGTACTATTTTTTATAGGTATGAAATGTGAGTGCCCAATCAGATCAAGATAAAGATACATGCACCTTATCCAGGGCATAAAAGATGAACCTTTGTGAAGGTATAATTCTGATTTCTACATTGAAGAAGAAATTAAAATATAAAAATATTACGATCAAAAATATGGTTTTTCTTTCTCCCCTTTCTGAAATTTCATTTACATTTATCTTCCTGTTGTAAAATATGTTCCTTTACCCTGCCCACAAGAAATATTTTTGAATATACCTATTTTAAGATTCATTGATACTCTGATTGGGATACATGTCTATTGTTCATATATGTATCTGTCAGGTTCAAATGTCTTTCTGCTCAAACTTTCCCCTCAAGCTATGCTTAAAGTTGTGTGCATTCTACAACATTTCTTCTGGAAAATCATAAGAGTTACAACACTTTATATGAGTGATCCGAGGGATTAACTACAAACCATGCAAATCTGAGAGCATGGCATAAAACACGAACCTTTGGAAATTCCAGACGGGGGGGGGGGGGGGGGGGGTCAGGTGCCTACGAAGAGTATGCATCCCCTGGTGACAGGTCAAACTCAATTGAGCCGTGTGTATTGATCAGATAGACGGAATATTCTAATATGTAATATATATACATGTACATCATATGCAGATGATAGCGGAATATTACTACTGATGATGAAAAAGCTCAACTCTTCTTGTTTGTCATGTAGCACAGTTCAGGTTACACATGAATAGGTGGGGCCTAATTTATAAGTGAAGTATATACTATGCCATCGTACAAAATAACAATTCTTCAAAATAGTAGAGAAGAAAATAATCTGCGAGTTCAAGTTGTAAAAAAAAAATAAATAAATAAAAAAACCCTACTATTACATGCATTTTTTTCGTTCATTTATTTAAACGCAATGCCTCTTAAATGATCTTGCCGTATATATATATGAAAATACATAAATGAGTCTTAACTCGATTTGTTGCAATGACATACACTCACTGTATAATGATAAGCTTTTAACCATAAAACTTGAAGGCATTGTGCTATTTTAAAAGTGTTGTGAACCTAATGCATTCTTGCCAGTGATTTATTAACTTCTGATTTTATTGCAGCTGACCAGAAAAAAATCAGCACGTCCCTTACAAAGATGATTTTTACTAAGAAATATAATTCTTCTAGGTTCGCAGATTTTTTTATCAATCACAAAATTTTTTGAAAATGTTTATAAAATAAAATAAGAATTTAAACTTTATTATGCCCTTGCAATAACGAATTTATAGATGGCATCAATACTTCAAGTATATGTGCTAAATTTATATGATTTGCTACATCACATGACTAGTCTAGATGTAAAATGAATAAGTTTTTTGGGGTCTGTATGTTATCTGTCCAATATTGGAAATCTAAAAAGAAACGCCCTTCCTATTCAAACATATTTCTTTTATCACAAAAAGTTACCGATATTTCAATTTGCATATTAACTGTACTGCGTATCATCTGTAGTCAGTTAAACATCCAAATATAAAACAGATGCGTATCGTCTATAGTCAGTAAAAAATCCAAATATGAAACAGATGTGGCACACTTTGTGCTGTCTTTTTTTTTTTGAGTTCACTAGGGTATACCAGGTCGACATATGAATGCAGTAACTATTGATAACAGAAAAAAAGTCGCCAATATATCTGAAAGTCTAGATGGGGGTCTCCGCAAGTTATTTTTGCTGTAAGAACTAAAAAAAAAAATAAATAAATAAAAAAACCCTACTATTACATGCAATTTTTTCGTTCATTTATTTAAACGCAATGCCTCTTAAATGATCTTGCCGTATATATATATGAAAATACATGAATGAGTCTTAACTCGATTTGTTGCAATGACATACACTCACTGTATAATGATAAGCTTTTAACCATAAAACTTGAAGGCATTGTGCTATTTTAAAAGTGTTGTGAACCTAATGCATTCTTGCCAGTGATTTATTAACTTCTGATTTTATTGCAGCTGACCAGAAAAAAATCAGCACGTCCCTTACAAAGATGATTTTTACTAAGAAATATAATTCTTCTAGGTTCGCAGATTTTTTTATCAATCACAAAATTTTTTGAAAATGTTTATAAAATAAAATAAGAATTTAAACTTTATTATGCCCTTGCAATAACGAATTTATAGATGGCATCAATACTTCAAGTATATGTGCTAAATTTATATGATTTGCTACATCACATGACTAGTCTAGATGTAAAATGAATAAGTTTTTTGGGGTCTGTATGTTATCTGTCCAATATTGGAAATCTAAAAAGAAACGCCCTTCCTATTCAAACATATTTCTTTTATCACAAAAAGTTACCGATATTTCAATTTGCATATTAACTGTACTGCGTATCATCTGTAGTCAGTTAAACATCCAAATATAAAACAGATGCGTATCGTCTATAGTCAGTAAAAAATCCAAATATGAAACAGATGTGGCACACTTTGTGCTGTCTTTTTTTTTTGAGTTCACTAGGGTATACCAGGTCGACATATGAATGCAGTAACTATTGATAACAGAAAAAAAGTCGCCAATATATCTGAAAGTCTAGATGGGGGTCTCCGCAAGTTATTTTTGCTGTAAGAACTAAAAGAAGTTGTTTTTAGAATAAATTCTGCTTCATAGGCATATAAAACTATGAAAACTGAATAATACAGATCTGTGAAAAGGAAAAAAAAAAACGACTTAATTATGTTCAAGAAAACAGACCCACCTAGATTTTTTTCAACCCCAAAGTTAAATCCAAAGGGAAGCACTAATAAATTTAAACTTAAAGTATCTCTGAAAACCGATTTATCGTACTTTATTCAAATTTGTGATTCAATCGAATGAATAGAACAAAAATCTAGCCCAAAGCAATAAAAAAAATGTGATTTTGTTTTTCAAAAGTCGCAATTACAGTGCGGAAATATCATACTAATTGCACCAAAGCTCCGAATGAAGCATGTTTACACCCTATTTTTAATTGAGCTTAGCGTGGTGATTTTAAAAATATACTATTCAGAAAAGAAGTTTTAAATCTTTCGATTACAGAATAAAACCTCCTAAATGACAAATTTACCTTACTTACCTTTATTATTTCAAAGAAGATGGGAGAGGGGGAAAGGAGGGGGCACTTGATATATAACGAAAATTCAGCTCTTATAAAATTTTCTTTTTTTTCCCGAAATTCCTATACATATTATCTTCCCCTCTTCATCCACCTGGTAATATTTTAATCGAATTAGCTGTAGTAGTCAATGTGATTTTTAAAATAAATCTGCTATTATCATGAAATATCTATAATAAATAGTTCCATTATTTGCTAACAAAGTTTAGGGTGAACCCTTTTAAAAACAAATGTCTTTTTCACTTGGAAACGATGTAAAGTGTTATTGAACTTATATTGGTGAATATTGGCAAACGTGGGCTGTACAAATGCAAAAACTCCTTTAGTATAAAGCTTAAACATCTCTCATTGATTTATATTTCTTATTTCAATCAAATAACTCAAATTAATAAGAATCTTTTAGTATCGGTAGTTAAGGTAACGTCTGTACTATAAGTGTTCAATGTCACGTCATTCCAATGACTCTACCAGGCCTTTTGATTTGTTTACTGAGATTTTATCGAGGCTAATACGTACTTCATTATTAATATATAATTTCAATTTTGTGCGAAAATAAAGACGTCTTACCTAGCTGCCACTAGCTCTCATAAATTTGCCTCTGAGAGGTTGACCAAATGACATTTTTTGTTTACAACGGGGCGTTCGATATCGTATTCGGAATGTTTCGAGCATACTCATTTACATAATACAAACTCAACATTAAATAAAACGCCAAGATATTGAACGCTAAAAAGAGAAAAATAACATTTCCTCACAAAATATAGTTCCTCACTTAACTATTTCGGTATAGAATTTAATCAGAATGTTTTAATTGAATATATATTAATGAGCATTTTGGAATCTTTTGTAAGAACTAAAACATTTTGCAGTATTTCTTTTAAATAGAGGTTAGACAAAAATCTGCTCTAATACTCAAGAACGAACCCCTTTAAGATTTAAAACAGATTTTGAATCCAAGAAGATATATGCTCACCTTTTTAAGTTTACCAACAGCATTTGGGAAAACATCTTTGGGAGTCCCTTGTCCCCAGACTCCAATCCTCATCTCACGGGATCCTGCATCAATGATCACTATCTTCAGAGTCTTAGTTTCAGAATCGGTATTTTCTTCCATTTTCTCAGTGCTGTTTTCAGAAACAACGTTACTATTTGGTGAGTCTGGGTTCTGAGAGACGTCCATCTCTTCGTATTTAACGTCATCCATAATTGCAAAGAGCAACTACATGTAGCATATGTCAACAAGTCTAAGAAATAAGAATGTTTAAAATATTGCCCCTTTAAATATGTACCCTTATATAAACCAGCTTCCAGACATATCACTTGATATGTCATAAGACTGTTGTACTTTAATCTTTAAACGCGTTTTATTACTTATGGTGGCTTTGAGCTAAAATATTCATAGATTTATTCATATGATGTGCCAAAATCTATGAACAATAGTTCATAGATTTTTGCACATCATATAAATAATAATATGAGTAATAATGTGATTTTATGGTGATAAATAATATCAATCATCCGAACAAACCAAATAAAATTACGGGTAATATAAGGGGTTGTTTGACTATTTCATTTCATTTTCTAGAGATAAAGAGTAATAGTGAAAGACAGAGAAAGAAAGTAGACAATTTTACAATAACAAACAAAACAACATTTACAGAAGGGACCTTTATCATAAGTATACCCTTAGTATATCAATCCCTATTAATTGCAGTGGATCATTTTTGCAATTACTAAAAGATAACGTAATGTATCATAGGATTTATGTAACAATTTCTCGTATTTAATTCCTGGCAAAAATGTATCTTCACGATGACCAGAGTACCTTATATCATTAGGAGGGAATCGTCGAGTGTTGAAAGGAATCTAAAAATTCCACTCTAAATGTGAAAAACTTTCTTCAACAATATCATTATTAATTAGAACTACATGACATGTTCTTAATTTCTGATTTCCTGAATTCAATATTCATATGGATTAATGAATATCTGTAATAATCACATATATGTAAATGCGGCGCACATGTCAGAAACTTCAGTGTACAGTCCGGAATGCGTGTTGAGTTCGTAGAAACGATAATCAGTCTATTCGAAGAAACAGATAGAGGCCTAAATTTAAACATTTTTATCATGATAAGATACCATTGCACTCGTGGTATAAATATTATGAGATTAATTTATATCTATGAGTATTTTGGAATATTTACTGATTAAAATGTTGACATATCGCAATGTGACTAACTCTGTCATATAAGCAGCACTCTACTCTTTAAACATCATTTACTTTTATTTAAGGATTGTGACGGTACATATTGTCGTTTTATACATATCGTCGTCGGCGACAATATGTACCTACCCTCACTGCATATACTGTCGTCCATCGGTACATATTGTCGCCGGCTGAAAAGTTACACATGTACATATTGTCGCTGGCGACATTATGTGCCTCACCCTCACTGTACATATTGTCGCCCCACACATAATGTTGCTTAAAGATTTCTTTTGTTGTTATTTAGTAATTTTGTGAATGTAATTGGTGTGTGAATTACACTGACGTGTCTCATGTTATTTCATGCAGCGTGTTGTGCCGGTACATTTTGTCGTCCTGTTCATATTGTCGCCGGCGACAATGTGTACCTACCCTCACTGCGCATTTTGTCGTCCATCAGAACATGTCGCAGGACAATGCATGGCAATGCTCCATGTAAATATCATTAATCATTGCTTTGCTCTTTTTGAGAAGATAATTTCCATATACATGATTGTATTCATATATAATTTAATTCTGGTTATAACACGGTATTTGATTGGATAAAAAATTTACTTTATATCGTATAAATTGGGTTGCCTACGTCACAATGACTTGCGTCAAAAACGTATCGATCCGCCTTACTTTACATTTAAATTTTGTACAACCAGAAGTCATTTCTTAAGGACAATAATCTTTTTTTCTTACTCTAAATGAATGAAAATAAAATTATAAGGAATGAATTTAATAGTTACCCAATTTATACGGTATAAAGTGGGTTGGAAAGTTAACGCTTTTATTTAAACCGTTTCGCGGTTTATAAAGCGTAAACTGTCCCAACCCACTTTATACCGTATAAATTGGGTAGCTATTAAATCCATTCCTTAAGTAAAACTTTAATCGCCCATTGTGGCCCAATGTACCCTAGGCCCGGTTTGATTTGAAGATACTTGAATCTGTACTACCTGAAGATGCTTCCATTTAAACATCACTAATCACGGGCCTACTGCTGCTTCTCAGTGGCGGATCCAGAAATTTCAGAACGGAGGGGGTGGGGGTGCGCGGTTCAGTATTGTTTTTGAAAAGCAAAAAAGAAGTCATTTGTATGTAAAGGTGTGTTACTGTATATGTAAAATAAATTATGAAATTTTAGCTATAGACTAAATTGAGAGTATAATTATTATACAAGTTTTTACCAAAACCACAAAAAATCAAACCGCCAAGCTGGGTTGAGGGGGGGGGGGGGGATGGGGGTTGCGCCGGTGCTTCATCTGTCTTTGGCTTTTCTAGAAGATTTTCTGTATATATTCCTATGTATAACTTTGATTGCCCATTGTGGACTTATCCTACCCATCGGGTTATGATTTAAACAAAATTAATTTTGTTTTTGTTTGTATGTATAATGTCCCTCTCGAGAATTTTTCATTCATATGGAGACGTGACCACTTGCCGGTGGAGGGCTGTAAATTTAGACCTATACTTGGCACACTTGGGATCTTTTACGTACCAGCACCTCAAAATTGAACGTACGCTATGTAATGAAGCTTTCACATCAGTATCTTCTGACCCAGTAATTCTTGGAAAGATTTTGAAAGATTTTTTTTTTCAAATATTCTATGAAAAACTTTGATCACCTTTTGTAGCCACACCCTTCCCCCTAGGGACATGATCTGAATTAAACTGAATCTACACTTCATAATGAACCTTTCACATAAGTTTCAACTTTTCTGACACATGCAGTGGTTCTTGTGAAGACTTTTAAAAGATGTCACTAAATTTTCTGGACTCCTTCCCTTGAAAGAGGACATATCCCTTCATTTGAACAAACTTGAATCCCCTTTATCCAGGATGCTTTGTGACAAGTTTAGTTGAAATTGACCCAGTAGTTTTTGAGAAGAAGCTGAAATTGTGAAACGTTCACAGACGGACGGACGGTCAGACAAAATGTGATCAGAAGAGCTCACTTGAACTTCTAGTTCAGGTGATCTAAAAATTAACCCCAACACCAATGAAATCGGCACATGATTGTATATATAAGAATAACGCAAAAAATAATTTCCAAATAATCATTACTACTGAACAAAAAAAAAAAAAAAAAAAAAAAAAAACAACAAAAAACTAATACATGTACATGTATTCAATCTCCATGCATATATTAAGAAAAAAAGAATAGGCTGACTTATCATATATCTGATGAATTCCGGTATCTTGACATACATGTATCATAGTGATGTACGTCAATTCTGGACAAAATTTTTTGACCAAAAAGTTTTCTTCCTACAGTATTCCTAGTAATGCTGTCTGTCTCCTCCGTGCGTGTGTGTGTTTGTCAATCTCTTTTTCCTTTCTCAAGTAAATATTCGTCAAAACAAAATATCGACGACAATATATGCCGACCTTGACTGCACATATTGTCGCCGACGACAATATGTGCCGATGCTTGACTGTACATTTTGTCGTCCATTATTCAGGAGGAAAATAAGGCTCGTCTCGGTACATATTGTCGCCGGCGACAATAGTACCGATGGACGACAATGTGTGCAGTGAGGGTAGGTACATATTGTCGCCGACGACAATATGTACAAAACGACAATATGTACCGTCACAAGGATATTTTTAAAAAGAAGTATATAGACAGGTGGTACATGTGATTTCTAGTGTCAATATCTCTAGCCTTTTTTCATATCAAAAATAAAGATAACATTTTTAAATCAACTTCATCTTTTCTCTCCAGTGCTGAGATCAAGAATTGTTTTATTTTTAAAGGAGCATTTTTTTGTTTATTTCGAATATTTCATCAATTCAAATCGCTGAAGTGAAAATGTGAAAACTACAGTTTCCAGATTCACGTAGTGCTTAAATGAAAAAAAGTAACATCCCATTGTCATAATTCAATTTAATAAAACGATTTCAAAATGCTGTAATTTTGTTAAGGACAGATGGTACAAAAAAATGGATGTCTGGATAGGTATATATTTTTTGACTTATTTTGGTTGTAAATGATTAGAATAATAATTTTCTAAAATATTAAGAAAATATAAATTTTCTAAGAAGCTTCAAATTCCATCTTTCTGTAACCGTCCTTATTAATCTTTACAACTTTTTGTCACTTAAATCCAATTATTGTGAAACTTTGAATAAAAAATAAAAATCTATGCGGTTAAACATTCATTTTACTTATATAAACATGATTTAGGTTGTTATTTTCAAGATTTTTGGTAAAAGTTTGTTTTCTATCATCTGTCCTTTAACAAGCCAAATATTCATCTGCTTTGTGTATGTTACAGTAATTTATGTACTTACATTTGTTTCCTTTTATATTGTATTTTAAGTGAAATTTTTCTGTTAGCGTATAATTTCAGAATATCTCTCATTCAAATATTATTTTCATCAAAACTTGACATACACAAAAATACCAAAAACGTTCTCTTCATCATTAGGTATGAAACATAGTTGATAGTTTTAAATGGCCATTGGCACAACTTAACTGAATTTTGGCGTATTACATGTACATGCTTTATAGCCGTTTGTTGGGCAGCTGAAATACAACAATACAGATATCATCAATAATTGTGTACTTCTACAGCTGACCTTCAAGATGAAAACAAACATTTTATGACATTTTATTTACCTTATTGTTAAAAAAATAAATTGTATCTTCTACAATGGTTGCTTGTTTATTTCTTACCACCAATGGGATCCGCCACTGTGTTCCGGTACGTAGGACTTTAAGAGATTTAAGCAGCCAAGAAAGACCGAGAAGTTAAATAATTCTTGAATCATGCTATAAATCAACTATATCTGTTTTTATTCAACGTTTTGGTTTGGAAAATATTTTGTTTTAATGTTTGGTTGTTTTTCAATACGATGATTTCGCTTCCTGAAGAGGGCTCTTAGAGATCGATAAATGTACTCCTGTACAGCTAAAT